AGCCGATTCCATCAACACTTCATCTTCCTCTCTGCAGCTCCTTCCAGGCGAAGCACAGGTCTGCTCTGACCTGCAGCCAGAGTCCCTTCTTCTGCAGCCACTGCATGATGGGATAGCATCATCCTCTTCATTAGCAGCATCCCGTGGTGGATCGGTGGACCAGCTTGCACTGGAGTTCCAGCGAAACATTTTGGGATTACAGACCTTCCCTCGTTCATCCAGGGGTGGTGCCGGAGGGTGCCAAGCATTCCGGCGCATCGCTCCCAAAGTTCCACCAGGAGGTGCTTCAACACTTACAGACAGCCCTCAGCAGCATGATGCTGCCTCCTCGTCCTCTTCCTCTTCAGTGCTTCTTAATGGAGTAAACTTAATGGAGAGTTCTGTTAGCGTAGGTCAAAATATTGGCAGCTCCAACTTAAACCCGCTACCCCAGTTGACAAGAGCCTCTGCAGATGTTCTGTCAAAATGTAAGAAGGCACTGTCCGAGCACAACGTGCTAGTGGTTGAAGGCGCCAGGAAGTATGCCTGCAAGATCTGCTGTAAGACGTTCCTCACTCTGACGGACTGCAAGAAACACATCCGAGTTCATACGGGAGAGCGCCCGTACGCCTGTCTGAAATGCGGCAAACGCTTTAGTCAGTCCAGTCACTTGTACAAGCACTCGAAAACAACCTGCTTACGATGGCAGAGCAGTGATATGTCTAACGCCCTGCTCTAACTCAGCACAACTGCAGGCACTCCAAAGGCACCATACAAGGATGACTGGTTTCTGAGTGGGCAGATCTGTACACTGTAATCTCACATCCACCATTATAGTAGGTATAGTAACTTTTTTTAGGTGTTTCATGGCTGTAGTATGTTGTTAACATGCTTCCAATTAACATGCCATCGATGGTACAAATTCCAGAGATAGTTCACACAGAAATGTTCCAAACCTGTGTGACCTAAAAAAAAAAAAATGTTTTTACATTTTTGTTTGGTTGGGGTTTTTTGTTCATACAATAAACGTCAATGGGGTCCAATGTTTTTTCTTTTTTATGGACAAATACATTTGAATCATTCTTTTGTGTTCCTGCAAAAGAAGAAAGTCATACAGGTTTGGAACATGAGGGTGAGTAAATGATAACAGAATTTTCATTTTTGGGTGGACTGTCTCTTTAAGTTTCACTGTGAAATGTTTTTAAAAGAACTGAAATGGAGAGGTCTGCTTTAAGAGTTGCAAGCAGATGTCAGACAGAACCTTAGTAGCTCAATCCTGTGTCCTGATGATAGAAGCTTGCTGTGGAAGTCAGAATTGTATTGTCAGCTGTGTACTGTTGAAGTATTTTAGCTTCTGAAGTTGTCTGTATATTTTGAACTGAAGCATCAAAAGGAGATTCATAATTTTTCATTTAGGTGCACCTTAGGCTGGTGGTTCTCGACCAAACTTCCAGGAGAATCCCAATAAGTCTTAAAATGATTTAAATTTAGTTATATTAACGTAATCTTGATTAAAATTTTAAACAGAATTACAACATTAAACTGACATCGTGTTTTTGACTTTATTATGATAGAAGTGCATATCAACTTAAAAAAAAAAAATAAGTGACGTGACATTTGGCCAAGTATGGTGACCCATACTCGGCGCTGTACATTCACTCCCCCCACCCTCAATCCCTGCCGGTACGAGACTCGAACCCACAACCTTTGGGTTACGAATCCGACTCTCTAACCATTAGGCCACAACTTCCCTTTGAATGTTGTCTCACGCTTAAGTGGGGTCCTGGAGTCAAAAAGGTTGAGAACTGCCTTTAAGTTACAGTGGTTTAAGTTACAAAACTACGTGAGCTGCCTGCCTGACTGTTTACAGTCTATATAGGCAGCATCCTTAGAACTCAAATGAAACCTCACATTGGAACATCTGGAAGGAACATGGGCAGTTGCACTTTTGTGTTTCCCCAAGAAACACTCATAAAACTTTTGCATTCTCTCGCAAAACTTTTTGCCTTAATTTTGCCCCAAAAAACTTTGCGTTATATATTAGTGGTTTTGCCTTTGCTAACACAAAGTTTCTCAGGTGAACTGAAACCTTGCTAAGTTTTTAGAGAGAACACAAAACTCAAAAGCAAAAGCTTTGAAATATAATTGTTCCTCCCATCTCATTTTTTACAATCACCATGTCCATTTAGGGGCCCTGTATAACTTACAATTAATTCCAAAGGAGTCTGACCCAAAGTCCATTTCAAGGAAAGTCTATGGTCAGCTATTTAAGTGCTATTTACTTGAATTGAGGAAACCTAACATTTCAAAAACTTTCCACACATTTCAAATCAGCAACCAAGTCTGACATTAGGTGTCCCATTATACTCAAAAAGCTTATATTTCAGGTTGCCTCAGAATACTGACTGTCTCTATGGCAGCCGGAGATTTTATTTAGGTGCGAATTATTCCGCCATATTTTGCATTGCACTTTCTCCCATTTATAGTAATGAGTGCACCTTCTTGGTTTATCTAAAGTAGGGGTGCAAAACTCAGTTCCTGGATGGCCACAGCCCTGCAGAGTTTTTCTAGTATTACATTCATTGTGCGGGATACATGTGATGCTGCTTTAGAATTAGGCCAGAACCAAAGATTTCCTTATGGTTCAGTCTTCACATCAAGATAATGGCTATGATGTCTTAAAATACTGTCTAGGGCAGGCTGTCAGCTTACTAGGTTTTGGAACACCGCAAATATGTAGATGAATAACCTACCACAGTCACTACTGTTACACTTTTACTGTTACAAGGTCAAATAAACTGATTTCTATTATAAGACTAATCTTTTGACTATATGTGGAAATATGAGCAGAATTGACCTTGTTGCCTATATTTCCCTAAACTAATAAACACTTCGTTTCTTGACTGTTGATTAACACAAAATGATTCTTATTTTCTATGGACAGTAATCATTATGTTGTATTCTTGAAATATGAATGCGGTAAGATGTATAATATGTTCCCTTTGCACAGAAGAGGTAATTGTAGGAAAATTTTTTACTAAAGCACTGTGTATTTGTGCCTGTTTCTGTTGTGTTCTGATTTTTTAACAGTATACTGACAAAATAGCACTGCATAAATAGACATTTAGCCTGACATCCTGAGACCGTCCTGTTTTGCGTCTGATAATGCTTATGTTGATGCCCCTGTGGCTGAAATTGATATCAGCACTGAGAGAATGTTAGACTACAGTGTTTATGGGGATGCATTTTCCATATAAGCATTTCCTAAAGAATGTGCTTACTGATTAAATTCATGTTGACGAATTTTAACGGAAGCTACTGGTGATGAGGTTGTCACTTTAAAAAAGGCTGTTACATTCATGTGTCTCTTTTGACCTTCCAGTGCACAGAGAGAAAATCTTTATGTAAAAATTGCACCTTCAGTCTTTAAGACTTTAATGTTTTACGGTTTGTGGAGAAATACATGCTAATCAAATCGAATCTTAAAAATGAACCTGCTGTAAATGAAAATAGATGTTCAGTCATTGTATTAGTGGTTGTTAATGGAAACTGTTAGGGGTAATATAACAGTCTTGTCCTAGTAGTTTGTGAGGAGTCTTGTCTTCTGTGGTGTGTTTGATGCTGTACTTAAATACTCAAACTAAGTATAACCGTTAAGATTTAGAAGCTGCTTCATTAAACACATTCCAACCTGTAAATAAGATGTTACTGCAGAATTTAGCATTTTATTTATGTCATCTTTTATTTAACTGTAGTAATGTTTTTTTTGCTTTGTGGTAAATATTGCCCGTTTGATTGGATGGACTCAAAGATTCTGAATATGAAAAATCATCACCTAACCCCTCATTAAATTCTAAATAAGACTAAATTTAAAATAAAATGGAGACATTTAAGTCTAAATTATTGTCCTTTGTTAATATTTTTTTCCTTCAAATTATTCATAAAGAATGTATGATTATAAGCCTGAGTGTTTTTTTTTTTTTACATTAATGTTAAGACATGAGTGTTTAGGAAACAATTCTGTTACAACATTCCTAGTATAATCAACTAAATATACTGTGGATGTCCAAAATCCAAAATGTTTTTGAATTTACACATTAATTTTCAAGCAACAGTTGACCTTAAATGTATGTACATAAAATGTGTTAAAACCATACCTAATCATACAGGACTTTTTCTTTAAATAACCTGAATCACAATGGAAGTGAAACAACTGCCGTATGTGATTTATTATTATTATTATTATATTTTTTGTACTATGACTCTTAGATCTAAAAAGGCCAAAAGTGAAGGAATTAATGTGAGTCTCTGTAATGGCTATTAACTGCACATTGTTAGAGCACTCATTTTTTTTCTACTGGTTTAAAAAAAAAGAATTAAGTGAATAAAATCATGAAGAATGCTATACATTCAGTCTGTCTTTTCATTAAATGTGTCTTATTTGAAAACAGATGACTAAAAAGTTCTAAACTGGTGATGTATTTAAGGACTGAAAGACTTGCATGGATAATGCTGGTCTTAGCTGAGTTTGTTCTTTGTAGATCATTGATTTCAGAATGTGAACCTTGCCTGTGTGCTCACAAACACTGGGCTTTTGATGTTCGAGAACAAACACGAGTTCTACATTGTTTTTTTTTTTGTTTTTTTTAAGAAATAGTTCATCTAAAAAAACAAAACATCTGTTACTATATACTTAACCCATATGCTTGTATTTTTTTATTTTTTTTACCCAGCTATAGTCCATGTAGTCCAATTTGCTGCTCATTTATTTGACATTTTTTTGTACTTCTGACATTTATAGACCCATTTTTTTTATTTACAATTTATTTTTTGTAGGCATGTACAATGTATAAATTATCAGCCAATTTTAGACTTTTTTTAAATTATTGGTATCAGTCAACATTTTATTAGTAATTGTGATGCAAATTTTCTATATTTTTGCATTTAGATTACATTTGCCATCATCTAATGCAATAGATAAACACTTGTATTCAAAACACTAATATTCAAAAACACAAAACTCAAAATGAATATCCATTTTTATTTATTCTGAACATTGTAATGTTGTGATGCCAAAACTTAACTTGTAGCGTTGAAAATGATTTAATATTTTATGGTTTATTTTGTTCATTCTTTTAGATAAAATTATACAGATTGGCCATTTATTGGTTATTGGTTATAACATGTAAATAGTTAATTTGTCTCTTTCTTTGGTCATTTGGGGTCACTATGAAGTGTACTCCTATGAAAAATAGCTACGTGAAGATTTTTCAGAAATTATCTTTGTGTCCCAAAGTAGATTTTTCATTTTCGTATAAACTATTACTTAACTGTCTAGTTTTACAGTTTAAGTTCTTTAGGCATGGGTTCTCCCCTGAGTCCAGCCAGCAGGTTGTTGGCAGCAAGAGCAGACATGGAGTTCCGTGTCGTATATGAAGCACTGGCAATGTGGGGAAGAATCACTGCAAAAACAACATAAACACAGAATATCAGACCGGTCAAATACTTTAATGAAATACATGCAGACGTGCATGCTTACCGCAGTTTTTGAGTGTGAAAAGAGGATGGTGTGTGGGCAGTGGTTCAGGTGTGGTGACATCCAGCCCGGCTCCAGCGATCAGACCGGTAGACAGGGCTTCATACAGATCCTCCTGATTAACCACTCCACCTCTTTACAATAACAACACAATCAGAGTCATGCACGGAAGGGGGAATAGAGCCACTAGTATACACCAGCACAGTGGTTATGTTCATCTGAAGTTAATGCTAGAAACAGTCTATGAACATTAATAAGTGACAGTGACATATGTCTTAATATATACTGAAAGAAATTTTTTTAATTTTCTGCCACATGATCTGTTAGGTTTACAGAATTTCCTTTAACCCTAAAGCACAATACAATGCAAAAATAAAACAATTCTATACAGAAAATTCCTTCATAACAGTACATTGTTCCCTATTTTTAAGGTCTTATCTTAGAGTGTAAGGTGTATTAAACATGCACATATGAGTTACACTTCAAGTGTCAAATGCTCAATTTCAAGCGGTATTTGCTGCAAAACAAAAGCAGAACAGCTCTGCTTATGAACTGTGTGATGCTCAGTTTCATACACCTCAGCTTAGCAAATATAGTTTTTCGCCTGTCAAATGTACATTTTTTCTTTTGCAAAAATAACGTCGAATAATTCTTGTAATTGCAAGATCACAAACACCTGACATTTGAGCCAGAGTAACAAAAATGTCCCTAAAACCAAGCAGTGGAATATCTTATTTTTTATTTCACAACACTTTACTTCAAGTCGTTAACATTAGTTATCATGAACTAACAATAAACAAAATCTTCATTTAGGTTACTGTTAATGTGTCAATATACCATTGTTCACTGGTAATCCGTATTTGTTCATATTAATGTTAATTCATACAACTTGAAATGTATTAAAGATGTAGTAAAAAGCATTGTTATTATTTAAAATATTTTTTAATAAAAATAAAATTTAAAACAATATTACATGAAAAACTTTGACTAGACTAAAACATTTTGAACTAAAATGAGTTTAAAATGTATTTGAATAAGTAAAAATGAATTAAAGCTAAATAGAAATATTAATAAAAAGCAGAAAAAATATTAAAATTAAGATGAAAACTGAAAATACAAAAATAAAGCTACTTCATAATAATATATACTATAATAATATATATAAAAAAAAATATTCTAAAATGAGCATTTTTTATCAGACTCCTTTGTGTAGGTTCAGTAATTTCACTTTAATGCCACTGAATAGGTTCTTTTCATTGCCATTGAAGTGAAATAACTGAACATAAACATGGGAGCCTGAGAAAAATGCTCATTTTAGAAGATTTCATACGGCACTTTGAGGCTTTTGCATCTGAACAAATAATGCTAAAATAACACTGGATGTATTAGTGTACCTGCTTGTGTTGATAAAGATGGCGTTTTTCTTCATCTTGGAGAAGAGATTCAAATTGCAGATCCCATGAGTCTCTGGAGTCAGAGCACAGCATACAGCCAGGAAATCAGACTGCTTGGCCATCTCATCAAAAGAGACTAAAAACACACACACAGGTCATTTGTATGCTACCTTGCGATTCCAACTCTCATGAAAATTCTGTGAAGGTTCTGAGATCTTCCCACCATATTCTGCCTCTATCATATTTGCAAGCTCCGGTCTCTGCTCCACATCTGTGTAGATGAATTTCTTCACCTTAAATGGCTTCAGACGCTCTGCGATAGCCACACCTACCCAGCACACACACACATACACACACCACACAACCTTAACTTAATGCAACATATTATGATCCCTGAACTAATAAATGATCATCCTATCCCTTACCAATCCTCCCAAGTCCCAAGATGCCAACTGTGCTGTTTGCAAGTTCATGACCACATAGCCATAAAGTTCTCCATGTTCCCCAGCCACCCCTAAACACAAGTATGAATCAGTATGGATCAGTGCATGATTTGTTAGCAAATATGTGAGTGTTCATAGTTATTTTTAGTACGTTTTAGCCTCATGTGTGGCCTCAATTAGTCTTCTGGATGTGGCGAGTAACAAGGCAACAGTCAATTCAGCCACACAATCGGTCAGAACATCTGGAGTATATCCTACACGGATTCCCCTGGAAATCACACAAGCCAAAGTCATCACACTTTAAGAAATTCAAATCTAAAGTTTACTCACACAACTGACCTTTTCTTGAGCTCATCCAGAGAAAGATGATCAAAGCCCACTGACATAGTGCTGACAACTTTCAGATTTGGACCTGCATTATTGAGACACACATTAAGTATGTCACAGCATTTGTCCTGATTTGTTTCAACCCACTGATCATGCATCGCAAGCTAACCTGCAGCTTCCAATAGTTGTGCATCAATCTTCTCTGTGAGTACACATAGAATTCCATCACAACCTTTGACCTTTTTCAGCAGCTCCACTCGCGGCACAGGGTCATCAGAGTCCCACATCTCAAACTGCACCCTGGGATTGTGTGGGTTGAATTAAGAGAAGGTTGAAGAGTGAGAGAAAGATGTGAAAAAAGCAGTTCAATGATTTACATGTATTTGACTCAATTGAATCTAAATCTAACTAAAATGGCAAATCATCATAATGTATAGACTTTTTGTTTTCTTTGACCCCAAAAATGGCATTTTTATTCATTATATGTTTGTAAATCTGTATAGAAATGAGTCTGATATCCCAGATGACTAATGTTCAGAATGTGAATGCTCAGCCAGTTGGTCACAAGTTTTTTATTAAGTTTGTTTCTTGCAGTATCATAAGTTGAGCAGAGGTTCTAGTTGGAAGATGTTGAACAAATCTTTGGTTTAGAAAATATTTACCTTATTATGGTCTTGGTTGGCTAAACTTGCCTGTGTCCATCTTACATTGTAATGATATATGAATTAAAATAGAAACTAGATTAGAGTAGGCCTACAACGTTTTATTCAAGATGATTGAATCACCAGATTTTTATCGCGATGTCTCTGCAAAATTTCGCAGACACAAGGTCCATAGTCTGTCTATAGCAAGGTATGAAGCACAAGCTAAACTAAAGCCAATTTCAACTTTAACCCAAGCAAAGAAAAATTTGCTATTAAGTGAAATTCCCGATGGCACGATTCCATTTTGACAGCGAAAAATTACCAAACAACTTTAAATGTGACAGCACCTTTACTTTGGCAGAGAGGTTTTGGTAGTAGTTTTTGGTAACACTTTATTTTAAGTTGTCCTTGTTATACATGTAACATGTACTTACTATAACAATAAATTATGCCTAATTACATGTAAGTAACCCTAAACTAAACCCTAATCCTAACCCTAACCATATAGTACATGTAGTTAATTAATATGACTCAGTAGGCTACTTAAATGTATAATTACACTGTAACAAGGACACCATAAAATAAAGTGTAACCCACTTAAGGTCTAGTTAATGCATTAAATAACATGAATTAGCAATGAACAATATGCTATAGCCTATTTTAATAACATTTATTAACCTTTGTAAATGTTAGTTAATAAAAGTATAAGCTAAAATTATTCAGTCATGTCAGCTCAGAGTGCATAATCTATGTTAACAGATACAACTTTTGATCTAAATAGTATTAATAAATGTTAAAGCTTAATAAATGCCAGAAGTATTTTTTTTTTAACTAGGCTATAATGTCAACAAATTAAACCTTATCCTACAATACCATCAATATTCGAAATCTAATTATAAACTTTGGGCCAATAACAAAGTTCAAATAATACACTTAGGGTAATTAATAACCGTGGAACCCATTTTATGAAACTAGTTGGTGACAACCTACTGTCCGGATTCGCGGAGAATGTCCAGTCCATCCGGCGGCACCTTGCGCGTCACATACACCTTCGGTAACGTGGACATTGCGCGATGAAATCCGGTGACGGTACACGGGGCGATCCTCCGCAGTCTCCCGAGCGCTGTTCTACTGCACCACATTACGAGCTATATCAATCAATGCAGGGATCTGTGGTAAAGGAGACAAGGCGGACTGCAAGAGAGGGGCGTAACTGGAAGGGGGCGTAACTTGAACAAGGGGGCGTAACTTGAAGTTGTCCAAATCACACACAGAACCACGCGAGATGTCAAAACGAGATGTTGTCGGGCTGCGTTCGAAACCGCATACTTTCTAAGTTATAAGCACTTAATTTCTTTAAGTACTTACTTACCGAGCGCTATGAGAGTGTACAGCCTGAAGCACAGCCTGAATGCGATTCGGATATCATCCGCTATGTTGACGTTATCATGTGACCTACGACGTTATAACAAGCGCAACAACTTAAAAGATATGAGTGACAGGTTTAATTCATCTATCTGTAAGTATCTTGATAATGATGAAACTTGCCCATCTTGTGGTCTTGTTGAAGAAACAGCTGCCTTTTTTGTGTGATTGTAGTATAGCCAATACATTTTGGGTTGATTTAAGTTCTTATATTTTTAACTCCGCTAATGTGATCCAGTTTTATCCTTAAAGCATTTAAAAAAAATGTATTTTGAAAACCCAAAATCGTTATCTCTTGAATATCTTGTTAATTTTTTGTGCAAAATGTTTTATCCACAAGCAAAAGTGGCTTAAATCTCCTTTGTTTTATTCTTTTTCTTGTTGAATTTAACTCTCGTTTCATCCCTCAGGCTTCTAAAAGAAGCATCATGATAACTTATTCACAGATATTTAACCTTGTCACTGTGCTTTTTCTCTGTGTATATTATCTCATACTATGATGAACACGTGCATTTTTGTTTTATCAGAATCAGAAGAGCTTTATTACCAAGTATGTTTACACACACAAGGAATTTGACTTGATGACAGGAGCTTCCAGTGTAGAAGAAAGTACAAACATAGTGCAGACATACATAGGAATAACACAGTAGGGATGTAATATAACACTAATATAATATATGCCATTATGATTGTTCATTGTTAGATACAACCATCTTTCCCTGATCTTTTATGTAATTATAAGTTCGGCAATAATAATAATAAAAAAGAGGGACAGGTGCACTAACACCTCATAGCATCACTAACTCAACAATCTAGTATGGTTTTCCTCAGTGTTTGCAATATCTGCACAAAGGATATGTCGGGCAGCTGCTCGAAGATCTCGCCTTTGGAGAAGACTGTTGATTTTATACTTTAAAAATGTGAGTATTACTACTTAAACATTAAGATTACCCCAGAATGAATTGCATCGTTTGCCCACCCCAACACTTACATGCAATAATAATGATAAATTCTAACCAATAATTATATATATATTTTTTTACTTAAAATGAAAAAAAAATTTTTTTTGTCGTATGACATAGCTATACATAAATATACACTAGTTGAACAAATGCAGTCGATGTGAATACATCAATTTTCAGTCAAGCAATTAATACAGGAATTAATAAAATATTTATATTTTATTTACTGACAACA